ACTTCCAGTTTAGTAAAAGCGTTTTTCCTTTGCTTTGTTGATTGATTTGTTGTGGAGAACCAGAGTATTTGTTACAACTTACAAAGTGAGAGCAGGGAGAGCTTTCTTTCCCTGGAGTATGTTAGTGGCTGTGGAATACGAAGCTGAGGTAGGCCATACTTCTTCTTTCATTGTGCTTCAGGCTGACTCTTGAGCAGTAATTGGTTAAAGCAGGATGGTGCTAATGGAGCTATCATCTTTTACCTCGTTGTGATCAGGGGATTTTTGTAGGACAGTTTCTTTTTAACGTTGCAAAGCAAGCTCTGCAAAGAAGCTGATGCCGAGCCAGCTTTGTGTAGCTAGTTGGTACCCAAGATTTGGAATAGCTGTAGATGTCCTTGTGCACAAACACCCGCTTCAGATATCGAACTGTGTATACTGGCCGCTTCAGTTCATCCTCTCGCTCAAGTTAAGCAGACCATTACTCGCCACAGAGCACTGGCTTCTACTGAAACAACATTTCTGTTTCCTGCTGTTCTTCAGTGAAGAAGTAAAACTCTAACAAAGCTTGTTTTTTTTGGAAAGCTCTGGGAGGTTTTGTCATGGGGGATTTTTTCCTCTTTTTTTTTTTTTCCCCTCCAAGAAAATTGAGGGGAAATGAAGATGATGTAAAGGAAAGACTGTCATGGAAACCAACTAGCATTTTGAATCAGCTCTGCCATTTTTAGAAACAGGGCCGTGTGCTGAAAGATTCCAGAGCAATCTGGTCCCTCCAAACTGGTTTTGGTGAGAGACTGACGGTAGGAAGATGCATAAATGTTACTGCCTGTCTAATAGTTATTCCTGCTTTGTGTTAACCTTGGGTAAGAGTAAATTTCTGCCTTCAGAAATCCCACTTGAATTCAGTAGCCTGGGTACATGCTGGCCTGTCAAATCTTGCGTTGTATCTGTTCCTGTACCTCCTCAGGGGTTTTATAGTAGTATGGTGGAAAACCAGTTTACCGATTATGGGATTACAGGAGCTTGGTGGGATTCCACCCTTTCTTCTCTTATTGTGCATCCCAGTGTAAGTCTGCAGCAGTAGGAGGAAGACCGTGGGTTTTGCAGGGGTTCAATATCCTCCCCTATTGAGGATACCAGGATGGAAACTTAATCACGTCACGTTCACTGGACTGTTTTCTTTAATTTTCCATGTATTTTCAAATTGTGTTACGTTTCTGGATGTGAGGGAGACGTGTTGACATGTTTTCTGATAAATGCAATGAGACTTTTTAGAAGAAAATCCTTTCATATTATGCTGTGGAGTTGTTAGATATAAATTATTTATGACTAAGGCTTTGTGTGCTAGAGAGCGCAAAGCTGAAGTTTTCCAAATCATGTCTATAAATATAAAGACCAAAAATTTCTAACTTGGATGCTTAGAGCTGGACACCCTGATTTGTAGGGGCTCTCAGATTCCCAGGGAGTTTAGTGGCAACACTTGAAAATTGCACAAGTGATGCAGGTGCTTCAGGGGTCCTGTTACCCACCGAGCAAACGGCTGTGATGATTTAAAAGTGGAATGACCGTCCATCGGGGGGTGGGACAGACAGACAGGCATTCTCCCAAAATTGCTTAGAGCAAACATTTTAGCAGTATCTACCTGCCTCGCATTCCTTGTGTCTCTATAAAATACTGAAGTTCTCAAATATTGTCCCAACTGCTACTAATATAAGTGTAGTCTTTAGTGGGCTTTTGCTAGGAGAATATCGTAGCTCAGGGGAGACTGGTGGTGTTGCTCAAAAGCCTTCCACTGAAATGTAAGAGGACCGAGGATCCTGATAAACTCAATTGCCTGTGTTCTGGATCGAGTCCTTATTTGTTTACCCAGTTTCGGACCAAAGCAGATTGATGCAGCCAGTGACATTAAGCTGTGAAAATTGGACTAAATAATTTGCATAAACAGATTTGCTATGCAATTACTAGGTTTCCACAGAAGAGGGATGCATAGAAAATAGGGAAGTGAGAGGCAACTGATGATGCTAGCTAGTTAATTTTCAGATGTAAATAATTCAACTGTTTCAAAATGATTTTTAAAATTAAATTACTGTGACACAAAGCACAAAAGATGACAAATCTCATTTGGAGTGTTTTGTTTGTATTTTGAGAGGAGGGTAATCTAGGGTGACATTTTGCATGCCAGGTTTTGGATCAAAACAGGTACAAAATAGTGGTGAATAAAGTGCCCTTTTATGTAGCTATGTGTCTTTGGTTTAAATGGAAAGTAGTTGCAGTTTATTTTGGAGTAATATGGTTTACAAAATTGCAATAAGTTTCTTTTTTGCTTATCTGTCTATTCCCCGAGTTTTTTCTGGTGTTAGTACCTTATAGTAAAGATTTCAGCTTGCACAAGATCACCATTCTGCCCTTTTTCCTCAACTGGGAGACTGACTTACAAGAGATTGTTGTTCTGCAGCAGTCCGAAGAGCTCAGATCTAATTGGAAAAGCAACCGAAGTTAATTACTGTATTGCATCTCATTGTAGTCCATTTAAATGGATACATGCTGCTGGAAATGGGAGAGGCAGATATCTCCTTCCAGCACGATTTGGACATAACTCAACTGGGAAGAAGAGGATAATACAGCTTCTTCAACGAGAGATGCTGGCATTTAAGTCTCCTGGAGGTGTGAGTTTTGCCTACGCTGCTTTGAGTCAGATCCAGGGTGGTCTCTACCCACTGCTGCAAACTGGCTTGAAGCCCACGTTTTTCTGTCAGATTTGTTTATCCATTTTTATATCCCACCAGCTTCTACTGCTGATGGAGAAGAAAAATTATTTTTCTTCCCACAGCAATTCTGTTCCTTAGAAAATTAAGGCAAGCACATCCAGTTTTGCCTAAAAGCAGCTTACAGGAATGGCACATTTATTACTGTAATTAGTTATTTCTTACGTAAAAGACCTGTAAGGTTTATTAAATTGGTGATCCTCTGAATGTTAAAATTCACAAGGAGGCTCTCAAGTGTCCCATTACATACTGAAGTAATTGTGTGCTTAGTAACAGTCAGTCAGCCGAGGATAGGTTTATTTAAGGATATAAATATTGTCCTTGTTTTTCTTCAGTGAGTGGGTGTGCATGTTCTGTCCAGCTGTGGGACAATGGAGTTAAAGCATTGCTTATGTTCAGGGCTGTGAAAGGCCCAACTGTGAGAGTGAGTGTCCTGGCTTCAAGTTTATTCAGTAATGTTGAAAGGGAGGAGCTCGCTCATAATAGCTGCAGCATCCCCTGTTCCGAGGGCAGTGCTGGAAATAACAGGAATTTGTCTGGGTGCAGAGAACGTGCTCTGCTCAAGTCCTACACGAGCCGCGGCGATGTTGGTTGGATGAAGGCAGCTGCCTACGATGTACGTCTGCATCTGAGCCGGGGTCATCCTGGATCAAGGGAGAAATGGATACTCCTGCAACGTGGTTGCTTTTGTCCTAATCTAGTTGTCTGAAGTAGGTGAACCGGACCCCAAGCGCCTGTTTGTTGACTATAAAAGTAGCCTCGGGTAGATAACACAGTTGTAGCTGTGTACCTTCTGTGTGTCTGGAGTTGAATGAGATGAATCACTCCCTCTAGCTCTGTTGCTGTTAGTTAATGAATATAGGAATGGTGAATGGCTTTGGCTTATTTACTGCAGCTCTTTATGATGTGCTGAAGCACATGTGAATTCGACCCATGTCAAGCTAAAATGAGAGCTTCAGGGAATGGGATAAGAAAGATTCCCTCATTGTTCGTCCCGTATATGGGCTGGTAGCTTGAATTGTAATTGTGTGACTCTAAAGTTTTGGGGGCGAGGACCAAGTTTTTTCCATATTTTACATTGCTGTCTACAGCTGTATTCTGTTATATGTAACAGCTTTGGGACTGATCGTCCCTGTTCAGAGATCTTTTGGTGGACCAGCTTTGAAGCACTGGCATTGATCTTCTGGATCAGGGAACTCGTCTGTTTACTCCTGTCATTAGAAAGTGGATTTTTTGTTCCAGGCCTGTAGGACGCAGAATACTGAAGCACCTCTCTTCCTCTTGCTTGAGCATTTGCTATTTTGGACATTTTTCATGTTTTGTAGTGCATTGTATAAAGCAGAAAAAAGCTCATTCAGCTGGTCTCACCCACATCACTAATGAGCTATCTCTGGCCAACACCAGGGACCATGTTTTTCTCCTCCTGCTCTGTGCAGTCTGTGCTGATCTTCCTGTTTGATCACTGCTCCTTTCCTAAAAGCCTCACTTGAAACCCCTCATTCCTCTAGAGCTTCGAGCCTGGTACAGCACAGCAAAGCGAGGGAAACACATGGTACTGAGTGTTTCAGAGTCCCCTGTGGTGGTGAGTGCTACCCCAGCAGAGCTCACGGCTTATGAAAAAGCAGCTGGAGGAAGGAGAGGATGGGAAAGCATGACAGAACAAATGAAAAGAGGGAGTTAGGAGTTCTGGCCTCACTAAAATAAATGAATTTTAGTGATTAAGGAATTTTAATATGTTCATGCACTTATACCAAGAGCTTCAAACATCTTTTTTTGAAAACTCACCTCCCACATAAAAGCAGCTCTGTCATTAACTTGATTTTCCACTGTATGAGCTATCCAGCTTCTTCCAGTGCCTCTGCCTGAATCTACGTGCACAGATGTTTGGAAAATCAGGCACATAACGAGGAGTCTAAGTATGGAGTTTAGGAATGTATGTTAGACTCCTACCTCTGAAAATCTCCTCTTTAGAAACCAGAAGTAGTAAAGAATAAAATACTGGATCTCACAGTTATTACGAAGAATTAGCAAGGCTCTGCAACATGTTCAGGAAGAGATAACCACCTATTAGATCGTAATCCTGAGGTTCAGTTTTCCTTATTAAAAAGGCAGAAGTACAACTTCTAGCATATATGAGATTTCATCTGTGTTTGTACATACATGTAAAAATACATGGGCTACTGCTCAGCAGGCGGTAGTCCACAGCATGCAATCAAATTTTAAATTCCATGCTTTTTCTTTCTTCTTTTTTTGCAGGCAAGGGGTGCAGATATCCCTGACATTCCAGGGGAGTTGCCGCTCCGGACCTGTGGCAGCACAGCAAGTATGAAAGTGAAGAATGTGAAAAAGTAAGAGCAGTGTTCTTTGATTTTCCTGTCTTTGCTGGGCTTCTGGTTTTGATATCCTGGGTTTTAGCTATTGTGCTGCAATACAGCTAGGGCATTGGGCAACAATTTTTGATAGTATCTTCATCTGAGCAACTAAAATCCATGCGAAACAAAGTGAATTCCAGCTAATGTGGTCTAAAACTGGGGGCATGAGAGGTTTTGTTGGCTCTCTTACCTGTTTCTGGCCATAGATGCAAAGTTTGTTAGAGTTTTGAAACTCGCTGTTACTGCACTTTTAAATTTTTGTGATTTCTTCCTGAAATAGATTAATTAAAAATAAATAAATAAATAAATAAATAAATAAATATGTAAAACCACTAAAGAGAAGCCCAGGCAATGTAGAAATGAGATGATTTTCCCTGTCTCCCTATGCTCTGGAAAGCTAAACCAGGACAAGTGGGTGGCCTAGATATATTTTTTTATTTGATATTTTTTCTCTTTTCCTTTTTTGCGTTCTGCCCTGTCCCTCTTCATTTGAAGGCGTTTTGCACAATTTTTCTTTTCTAGGGGTATTTTTTTCTTCTCTGATCTCCAGGATTTTTTTTTCTGTGGGCTTATTCTCTCTTTCTCTCATTCTCTCCCGGAGAATGTAAACCAAGTTGTTATGCTTGCAGCTAAGGTTTCAAACCTCTAACCTGCAAAGGGGATCAAAAGTAATCAATATTACTTGACTTGTCTTTGCTAAGAATGCTGACTTGAGGACCAGAACTCCCCAATATTGATTGATCTGTGCATTCAGATCACCTCTCTGTAGCGCTCTGATGCTGTAAGGGAAATGGCTCTTTGTTCTAGCGCTGAGCAGCCAGATGCTGCATCTCACTTCCCACTTATATTCCCGTGGGAAGAGAGAGCTAGATAATGACAATCTCATTGGCTCACCACCAGAAATATCTATAGGAGTCTATAATAGCTTCAGCAGAAGCAAGAGCATGTTGCAGAGCCAGAGGATCTCCCCGTCAGCCATCATTGTAGCTGGAGACACTTGGGAATAATTATGCCTCACTTTTGAATTTTAAAAAGGCAAAGGATAAATAGCGTTTGTTCTGCACCCTCAGATACATCAACCCGGGACTGATGGGCTGTGATGCCTTTCACAGGTAAAGTTCTACTTTCCTATGTGTCTTGTGTAAGGCTGTTTATTTGCACTGCAAAAATGCATTTGTAAAGGTAGAGCGGCTTGTCCCTGCACCATTTCTTAAAGATGTGGGCTTAGGTGTTGATGAAATGCCACGCAATTCTTTAAGGATGCAATGATAAAAGCCACTTTGCAATTTAGTTTTCCTTTCTCACTCAGTTCCTTTCTCCACTGTTTTGGTGCATCACATCAACAAACCCCTCTGTTCCCTTGGCTTTAGGATGAGAAAGTTGTTATTCTTTTATGTCAGTAACTGTATTTTATACCAGTACTTGATGCTGAGCATTGTTTCAGTGATTTGCATCTCTCTTATGGTGTGCTTTTGATGTGCTTCAGGTTATCCTTTACAAAGGGTCATTTCCCGAAGATGGCTGAATGTGCACATTTCCATTATGAAAACGTGGACTTTGGCAACATACAGGTGAGTCTCAGATTTCTTTTCTATACTGTGTTTGGCTACCAGCTAACCCGGTGGGGGAGGCGGTGGAGAGACCTCCACTAAGGTTCATTTAGTTTGTTGCAAAATGTTTAGTGATAAGAAATTAAAGCAATAGGGTCTCTTTATTTGGAATTGCTTCTGTGTACTGGGCCAGAATCTGTCCTCAGCCATGTGGCCGCCCCTTTGAGGTTGGAGATTATTTTATTTCCGCTGGATTGGACTGATGTCACTGTTTTAAGACTGCATCAAACATTCGTTATTGAGTCATCTGTAATAACTGCATGCATATTTTTAGCTTGTGTGTCTGTATCTCTAAACAATTGTGTGAACATATTTATGTAAATATAAATAATTCAAATGTATCCGTTCTCTTCATGTTATCTTAGCTCTGCATTGTGCATTGCAGCAGCTGTGTCATCAGAATACAAGAAATTGCTAGTCAGCCTGAGCTGCATTTCTAGAAGTGTGGAGGCTTCACTCCTTTGTGATCCATCCATCAGAAATATAGGCAGCAGCATTTTTCATTGAGCCGCACCGGGGAGGGCTGAGAACCAAGAATCACTGCTAGTTTCTCATAAACAGGGCACATCTTGTTCTGCACTTAGAGAAGCAGAAATGCCTCCAGCATCTGCCAGCCTTGTAGCCAAAAAGAGGTTACAACCTTTTCATTTGTAAAACATTTCCTGTAATATAGAGTGAATTATTTACAGCCTTTCGTGTTTCCGTACTTGACAGTTTTGCAAGCAGAATTATGCATCCGTTTTTTCTGTCTCTGTAAAATTCCTGCCGAGAAGGAGTTTGGGTCCTACTCAGGGCTCGTATCTGCTGTTATTCCCACTTAGTGGCTCTAAGTAGGTCCATTCTGCTGAGCAGGGGATGTATGTGCGTTGGCAGACAGACACGCATAAAGGCAGAGCAAGTTAGACAAAATAGCGGGCTTAAGGGGACAGCAGTGCAAAAAGCTCAGTTCTTAACGGGGTCTCTGGAAGATGGGCTGCTGATGCAAACAGGAGTAGTCCTCAATCTTTCGAGGCAAAACTCTGTTTCTTTATTTTCAGTTTCTGCCTATAGGAATAGTGCGGCTAATCTGTGTCTCTGTTTTTTTGTCTGCTGGTAGTTTGCTGATTTGACACCACTAATTTTTCAGTCATTTTGGAGAGAAGTTTTATGTTGGAGGAGGTGTTGAGCAGGTTCCTCTGTACACGGAGCTGTTTTTTGCATCATGCGGTCCTCTGAGTTTTCCTTTCCCTCGTTCAGAGATATTCAGCACAATGTGCAAGCGAGAGAGAGACTACAACCTTTGCATGGCACTAGTATTTAAAGCATTTTGAAGAAAAAGAATATAATTCTTTTGTGGGTTTAAGCATATCTTGGAATGTTTTAAGGACGGCAGGGCATACTTGTAGGGTTGATAGGCTGAGATTTTTGTGTTTGTGAGAGGGAGAAGGAAAAATCAGATAATATATTCTTTACAGATTTTCTTTACGTTGTTCTGCCAACAAACCTGAAGCGCGTCCTGGTGGGAAGCTTCCACGAGCAGGAGCTGGTGCTGTCTAGCACTCATTTTTGTGGTGTCATTGCTGCACCTACAGCTTTCCATCCTCCTGCTCAGTGCCCTCTGCCGCAAACAGATCACCGACTGCTGTAACCAGAGGGGTGGTCTGGCTGAAAAACAACTGGGGAAGGATAGCTCGGGAAGAAAAGGTAGTATTGGTTGTTCAGCCACGTCACATCCCTGAGGTGTTTTCTCTCACGGTGCGGGGAGAACGTGTGTGTCTTGGGGGGGTCAGTTCTCTGTTGCTACCACTGCTACCTCTGAAAAACCGTACACGCTTAAATATTCGTGTACCTAAAGCGAAACCTGTGTACCAGCTCCGTGCCTCTTGTCCCTTCCTTTTCATAAGCAAGATTTCTGATAGATTCCCACAGTGTAATGACTTTGTAATACGGATAAAAATATTTTAAGAACAGAGCTTTGCTCCTGACATATGAAAGGATAGGGAATTACAGTATTTGCTTAGGAGAAGACCAGTATTAATGGCAAAATAAATGAAAACTATTCATTCAACAGCAGTATTAGTTTACAGACTTAAAAATAGGTTCGTACAGGGCTCATACATTTTAATCAAGTGGCATTCATTGGTGGCCCCTTTGTGATAAGAAGGTAGACTAGAGAATAGCAGTAGGCTGAAGTGACTTGTAAATGACAGCTTGGCACCTAATAGCGAATTACCAAGTTGCATCTGAGGAGTAGTGGGTGTAAACTCCTTTCAAAATCTATTCACTGTTAAAAATTTGCATAGTAGAAATGCAGTATTATCTGGCTGCGTCAGGAATTGTGTAATGCTGTCTATTAACAGCCTGGCCAAATTTCAGATTGTTTTGTAACGTTTGTGTCACTTATAATATGGTCTCATGGTGCAACCGGTATTAATATCGTGGCATTTCACCTCATGAGATCATTTAAAATTAAGTTTCTGAGATGTATAAAAAAGGATTTGTTCTCTTCTTATCCTGGCACCATGCTAACAAAACTACGTGCATTTTGGGATGCTTTTTCTCTTCAGAAATGTTCTGCTGTACTGCTTTCAACAGCAGTGTATTTGAACCTTATCTGTGTCTGGCCAGCAAGACACACGTTGCATCAGC